TGGACAGGAAGTTGACCACACTCAATAAGTAACAAAACGTGGACAGAAGGTTGACCACAATAAAACAATAACAAAACGTGGTCAGGTGGTTGACCACACTTATTAAGTAACAAAACGTGGACAGGAAGTTTACCACAATAAAACAATTACAAAACGTGGACAGGTGGTTGACCACACTTATTACGTAACAAAACGTCGACAGGGGGTAGACCACAATAAAACAATAACAAAACGTGGACAGGAGGTTGACCACATAAAAACAATAACAAAACGTGGACAGGAGGTTGACCACATAAAAACAATAACAAAACGTGGACAGGAGGTTGACCACATAAAAACAATAACAAAACGTGGACAGAAGGTTGACCACAATAAAACAATAACAAAACGTGGACAGGAGGTTGACCACATTAAAACAATAACAAAACGTGGACAGGAAGTTGACCACACTCAATAAGTAACAAAACGTGGACAGAAGGTTGACCACAATAAAACAATAACAAAACGTGGTCAGGTGGTTGACCACACTTATTAAGTAACAAAACGTGGACAGGAAGTTTACCACAATAAAACAATTACAAAACGTGGACAGGTGGTTGACCACACTTATTACGTAACAAAACGTCGACAGGGGGTAGACCACAATAAAACAATAACAAAACGTGGACAGGAGGTTGACCACATAAAAACAATAACAAAACGTGGACTCAAGGTTGACCACAATAAAACAATAACAAAACGTGGACAGGAGGTTGACCACATAAAAACAATAACAAAACGTAGACAGGAGGTTGACCACAATAAAACAATAACAAAACGTGGACAGGAGGTTGACCACTCTAAATAAGTAACAAAACGTGGACAGGGGGTAGACCACAATAAAACAATAACAAAACGTGGACAGGAGGTTGACCACAATAAAACTATAACAAAACGTGGACAGGAGACCACAATAAAACTATAACAAAGCGTGGACAGGAGGTAGACCACAATAAAACTATAACAAAACGTGGAAAGAAAGCGGAAAACTATTATACATTGTAAATGCTTCAAGTACGTCTGGTCGCCTTCAGCCATCGCACTGTTTAATAGATTGGGCAGTAATAGTGAACAACTGTTGCAACATGTCAGCGTTTTTTTACGTCTAAAATACGCTGAGGATTAAGTTTCCACTTGAAAGAATGTTATGTAAAGAAGTCTGCTGTATTCAGTAACGGGTAGCATGTTAATGTAAACAAGTAGTGGACGATGGCATTGTGAGTGTTTGCTTTTCAGTAGAGGTTGAGAGGAATTTGTCTGTTGGGTAAGATAGCTTGTCAGAAAAAAAATGATAAAATGATATATAACAGGTAAAAGGTTAAATAAGAAGACCAATTAAGACATCTTGTGCGACCTATATAGCACTATACAATGGTATCTAGGCAACGCAGGCATGTTTGACCTAGAACAGACACTGATGTTTGGTTCAATTCAATTCACGTGATTTCCACGTTTCTATCACGCAAGAAAAATATACTCAAAAGGTATTAACATTATATCGTGCTGTATCTATTACCAAATTCAAAAGATGAAGTTTGTGTCTTAGAATCATCTATCTTATAACCGTTATAGTCGTTATGGAATATAACTTACTTATCTGAATGAAAGAGGAACAAACACCGAACAGATTTGAAACAATTAAATTTGCTGATTGAATAGCAATTAAAACAAGCAGTTTTGTTTAACTGTGAGTAAATATATCATTATAGCATGCTATTCTACTCCATCAATCATAGAACACATATTGTAAATTTTACTTATTGTGTAAAACTATTTAAAGCATTTGGTACAAACATGTGTATGCTACTCTGAAAGACAATTGGATTTTTATTTTTTGACGAACAAATGTCTTTAGTGTTCAAACATACTTAGACAAATGATACAATTTGTGGTTCAGATACAATGCATACTCTTTATGCGAGGAGAAAGGTAGTAAAATGATTGAATGTTAGTATTACGTACGATGACACGACAGTGCAGTGTTGTACTTGGTGGCGTGCTGACTTTTTGATAACGGCGTTATGGAATTAAAATGTCGTTTTAGACACCGTTATCTGCTCACAGGGGATAACCTTAGCACGGTGTCACAGTGCGCTGCCTTCCTAAGCTAAATGTGACGCAAAGAACATCTGACTAGTTTCACGCTCAGGCATTGTGTTGGTTAACGTATAAATCGTTAATAAAGTAAAATAAAACGTCACTACATAAAGACATTATTAAAATCTCAGGTGACACGAAAATAAACGTAAAATTATCCAACTACAAACCGGAGACGGCAGCAGATTTTCCGGAATGATATAAACTTCTTGCAACACACGTGGCGCCCATTATGGTGTGAAATCTTTTGTTTATCGCGCTAGAAACTGAAATTCCATAGGTAAAAACAAGTCCAAGAAGACGTATGTGCAATTCTCCAAAGTAGAATGAAGCCTCTTATGTAAAAGTCTGGCTTATTAGTTTATTAGTCAACAACAAATAAATCCTGATATCCTGAACAGGTGACACTTATTGTTATACTGCAAGCAAATGTCTAGATATGGAGCTACACACATATCATCTTTCGCCTAAATCTATATATATATATAACTTGATTTTAGTGTATTTGTATATTTATAATATCGATGCAATATAAACATTAACAAAGGAAAAAAAACCGAAACATTAACATTTGTAATATCAGACGAAGAAGATGATACATCTATGTATGGATGAATAATAAAAATACATCCCGGTAATTGTTATTCAAGTAATCATATATATCTGAATATGAAACTAAATAAAAACAAATCACAGGTTATGGAAGCATCGTGTCAATTATAACATCTCAATGCCTCAATACTGCCTTGTATTGGACATGCACGTAACAATATCCGTAGGCTGTTAATGTTTGGCTGTGAGTTGTGGTACTCATTTACAAACTCAGGTTGACGTAGTCTGTAATCAGGACATCACTTGAAAACGGTTTTACTGTTGACGCAATTGACATACTGTACTAGTTCAGCTTTCATGATTTTTTAAATGAAACATTTAAGTCGGGTAATTTTCCTCCAAAGTTACCTTGGAAACATCTAGTTCAAAATGTTCTTTGTAAAGAATCAGATGACTGGAAAACTCGTTTAGATCACTCGCCCTATTTTTCGAGGTTCAAAAATCTTCATTCTGAAATGAAACCTTCAGTGATCTGGTACTTTTCAAAATGTCATCCTTCTTTTATTGGAACTTGCAAAACTGTTTCCAAACTGTGGTTACTCCACCTGATTGCGAAATATAATCCGCTCATTGTAAGGGTGACTTTAAAGACGCAGTCGCCCATTGTTTGTTAGACTGCGGCGAATTAGAATTAGCAAATTTGCGGGATGCTCTTTCGACGAATTTTGTAAATCTTTCGACCAGTCAGATAGAGAAGTCCAGTGGCTACTCTGCAAGGTGCTCCAAGCGCTGTCATTTGTGATGCTTTTAATGACTATGTTAAATCGTTCACGTCTTGTATCAAAGATTTCTAATAATTTAGTCACTTGCACTCACCGTTCTCATCTATATTGTACTGTTAATTATTTTGGAAGAAATAAAGATATGATAATGATGATGATGATGATGATGATGATGATGAATACTGCCTTGTATTGGACATGTATGTTACAATATCCGTTGTAAATAATAAAATAATATGTATTTAGTTGTATACAACATAAAAACATTACAAATACGAAGTACACCTAATAACACCTTCTATGAAATGTACATGTTTAATGCAGTAAATGAGTAACTTACAGCCGAAATGTTACACAAATATATGTCTATGTATTGATTCCCTTTTGTTTTTTTATTGTCATTCAGTTAAATATAAAAACAAAAATAGCAGATACATAAACACAAAATCTACACGTCACGTGAATTCGTACAAAGTGCTCCATAATGATACGCTGTAAAATGAAATTCGAAACCATTATTTTTTCTCAACAATTGACATTTTTTTAAATTTTATACTGTGTTTTGCGATTGAACTTATATTAGTTAAAAATAAGAGGCGTAATCATAACTCTCGTTTAGATAATCTATTAATAAGTCAATTAATGAAATTACGTATCTACGATCAATATACACTAATGAACTTTCTAAACAAAATGATAATTAAGAAGTATTGAATATCAAAACTCGCTAGCGCAATGACACGGTGTTTTCAGGACGTCCACGTGACCCACACAGACCTGTCCGTGACCTGGTCTATAGCGCTGTATGTACACAATTAAAAACAGGGGAGGTCAGTGGAACAGACGTTAGGATGCTGTATACTCTCGAACCCACCACACTTAGTCAGGTCTACATAGTCATGAGTCAACTGTCTATACAAGTTACAAATTTCAATATATCAGTCAGAGTGAACCTAATTGACAGGTCACTGGTAGTTAGTGACCGAATTGTATTTGACAGGTTCGCGTTGTTGATTTTTTCACATCGTCTTTCCGTTCTGAATTTTTCCTTGTTTATAAGTGCCTTGGTATATCTGTTTTTCAGTTTGCTCCATGAACATGACGCCACATTTAACAGGTCCTCGCTCAACCATTGAAGCAATGATATGTGGAAAAGTCAGTCAGATGGAACCCTTATGTTCGAGTTTCTCTTGAAATCTCTGATATATTTAATTTAATTTATTTGTCCCTGTCCTGAAACATACTTTCCCTAGGTGGTTGATTCGTTCCATATTTTATATTTATCTCATAAAAAAATTGACAATTTTCGTTCAATGTCCTTGACATTTTTTTATTAAGTGTATCACAGGAAATTCAAATGTTTGCACGCTTCAAAACATTATGATTGATTATCATTTATCATGGTATTTATGAAGATAAAATGTATTATGTATAAAGTTAGGAAGACAGTAGACCCTTGGTTCAAAAAGACAACACGTGATCCTGACCTCAATTTATCTTAAAAGTATGTATATAGCCACTGATAGCTGGGCGACACAGCAGACTAGTGTGTAGATCGCGTAGGTCAGGCTGATCAATGACCAACATGAAGTTTGACGATATTCTATCACACATTGGAGAGTTTGGTTTTTACCAAAAACGGTTGTACCTGCTGCTATGTATGCCCGCGATCAGTGTGGGTTGTTACATGATGATGTTGGTCATTACTATGGCTACACCTGAACACAGGTAAGGAACAAAACCATTATTTTTTATTCGTCTTTTTTGTTTTCCTCTATATGGTATTTACAAAATTGTAGTTATGTATGATAAACAAGCAAACTTATAACACATGTTACAAATAATGGTATTTTTTGTAATAAATATCACATTGTTACAAATGTATAGTATGACAAGTTTTATCGGCTATTTGGTTGAGTAATAATTCTCGTTGTTTTGCGTACCTTGCATATCTTAAATTAGTAATATAAATAGATGTTTTACATATTGTTCATTATCAATAATTTTCCAAATGCAAAATTTGACTGCAGTAATTATTCTGGAAAATGTTTCCTTGAATTTTGATATCAGCAGGGGCAGATTCAGCCGGTCTTATCTGGTGTATGTCCGCCATGTCTGACCATCCCTTGTAGGTGGTGAGTTCTAGAAACGGAAAATATGCTATTCTTAACATAGATTCCGTTTGTTTACTGCACTTGATCTGCACAGCATTCGATTTAAATCTGAATTCATCAAATCCAAAAATCCAAAATCATCTTTTAAGCAACAGTATGAATAGAAAAAAAGTTAAGACATATTAAAATTATTCCTCACAGCTGATCTAGCTCGTTCATTTCATATTTATTTTCAGCTTGTATTATATGATTGCATATAAAATCAAACTTTGGTTCCATCATGTCTTGATAAATTTGTCATTATTTCTACGCTGTATACAAGGTATTACTGCATGATGCACGGAGAGTGATAACAGTCACAATATTTATCTCGACCGTATTTGCCGTTCCAGATGCCAGATCCCAGGGTATGAAAACGATACATATGCGATACTTGGCGACACTCACAGGTTTTTAGTCAATGTCAGCATCCCATTGGCAAGTGAAGACGAGGATTTTCTGTATGAGAAATGCCACATGTATACATGCAATAATGGAAATTCTGCAGCTAACTGTCCCATCCAAAATAGAACTCGGGTCAAATGCTCAAGCTGGGTGTACGACAAGGAAACGTTCCATGAAACCTTTACCTCAATGGTAGGTATGTCTGTACTGTTTAAACCTTTACTTCAATGGTAGGTATGTCTGTACTGTTTAAACCTCTACCTCAATGGAAGGTATGTCTGTACTGTTTAAACCTTTACTTCAATGGTAGGTATGTCTGTACTGTTTAAACCTTTACCTCAATGGTAGGTATGTATGTACTGTTTAAACCTTAACCTCGATGGTAGGTATGTCAGTCCTGTTTAAACTTTTTACCTCAATTTATTCAAAAACTGGGGATAACATTTGTAATAGTACCAACAGGATCCGCGCGGGAGCTAGTATGAAGCAATTGTTGAGAAATATTACGATCAAAGCCGTAGCGTGATAGCTGTATGGTCAAACTAAACATCGCGTGTTCCTATGAAAGGGCATAGCATACGTTTTAAATACTAAAAATACTATAGGAAATATGGATGATGACCCATGACATTTGAATGATTGCACGTTAAGCACTCATATGTAAACAAGGAAAACAGATAAGAAAACTCGTTAGAAATACTTTTGTGTAATAGTAACTACATGTATCCAACAAAAGAGATTTGCAGATGAACAATAAGACCGCACGATAGTACATAGATAGCTGTTCAGGCTTACGGATAGGTAAGCTATGCGTAATAACTAACATTATCACTTGTAAGAAAGTTACGTAAGTATTACATGACCTTGTCAACATTCAATAAACAGCGTATGAAGAACAACCCTTAGTATTCAGGCTTGGAGATAGGTGACCTATACCTATCAACTGTCAGTATCGTTTGTCAATAAACATCAAAATCTACTAACCGAGGGCTCCTACTCACCCAGGAATTCATCATAACAGCCATAGGTGGGAGCGTCGGAGTTAATCTCTATGTCTCTCAAAGAAGGCCGCTTAATTTCTCATTCAGTTTCATTATGTATCACTGTAATATACAGGAAAGTGTATCAATCATTCATTCATTCAGCTAGTTAATTATCACATTCTTTCAACCTGATGAATTTACACACTTATTAATTTTATTCAATATTTTTTGCAATTATGAAAGAAGAACTGTCCAAATCATCTTTAAATAAAATTCTTTTGTTTATTCATTTATTTTCAGTAAACCAATCATTTAATTATCTCATTCATTCAACTTGATGCAGGTATACGATTTCTTTTTTTATTCAATTTCAATTATAAAAGAAAATATATACAAAGGAATCCTTTATTGTTTTAAAAGAACCACCAACATGAAACATTGAATATTGATAGAAGGATAAAATATTAATCTTGGTGAAATAAACAAAGAGTACCCGCAGTGTAATGTCGTTATCTGGGTAGTTATATCAGGTCGAGATAGTCTCCTAGATCAAGGTCGGCCAGGCATCTCACCTTTATAAAGTCAAAACATGGTCAAGTAGTTTATGGTATGTTTGTGCAATCATACACAAAGGTTATACAAACGTTGTTGTAAATGATTGTAGCATACTTCGACAAGACAATGGGACGTATTGTATCATCTTAATGATCATTCGGACATCTGTTACCGATATCAATCCATTCAGTGCCAGGTTTGGATTTGTTATGCGTTTTGCGACCTCGCAACAGCTCATGTATTTGGAGACGATGCTCAGATATGAAAAGCAAGAGTTACTTTAAAGTATCAGAGTTAGCAAGAGTTACTTTAAAGTATCATCTCACCAAAGTGCCATATCCTTTGTTATAAACGATAGCATGATACCCCAACCGGTCACAGTATTCTGCCAATTAAATAACCATATGTTCCTAGGGAGACACCGTCGAAAGGAAAGGGTATGATAAAAAAGATAAAACAGAGGTCCGAAGTGTTGCTTTGGTATAGCAGCCCTGTTTATGTTGTACTTTAAGGATCCCTGAGCAGAGGGAACAGATGGAAACTCAGATTCTGCAACGTCAACACAGGAACAAAATACAATATAGTTAACACACAAGGTCATTATATACAATAGCGTCAACACATAAAGACAATATATACAACGTCAACACACAGGGATAAAATATACCACAAAGTCAACACTCAACGACAGGAAAAAATATTTAAATGTCTAGTGTCATCACTCAAGGACAGGCTATACAATAGAGTCAACACACAAAGGCAATATATACCATAGTGTTTAACGGTGGCGCTATCTTGACATGTTTGATAGACAAACCTGGTCTGTGATGATGCTCTGAAGACGTCCCATGCACAGATGCTCTTCTACTTCGGCGTCCTTGTTGGGGATCTCGGGTTTGGACTGGTTGCAGATATGTAAGTATGAAAATGTTTGCCTGTTACTTCTGAATAAATTATTTCATCCACAAGTGCGGTTGTGGAAACATCGAGCTGAATGTTGTTTTTCATTTGGTAAAGGTCGACGTTGTCGTTTCTTTTGGCTCGTGGTCATCATTTTAAAAACAACGTTTCGATATCGATGATAATATAAATGAATGCCCAGAGCTGCGTTACTGTTGTTTACATTTTAAGCCATAATGATGATAACAAAGTGATGACCGGAAACATGGAAGTAGTGGCTTGTGAAATCCTGTTGTAAAAATAGAATAAAAGTACAAATACTGGTAAAGCCTCTCAGGCTATCTAATGTAGCAGGCAATATGACAAAGTGTTTACGTAAAACAATAAATGAAGCAGGGTATGTGATGTCTGTTAAATCGAAGGGTGTCTTCATATGAATTCTATATACTGTATTTTATACTTATCAAACATAACATTAAGTTCACGATACCGGCACTGACCTAGCCAAATAAAATGGCCCTTGCAGGTAAGGTAATAAATTACGGAAAAGAAAAATCTTACGGATCGTCGTTGCGTATGTTTCCACAGTATTGGTCGTAAGAAGACACTGTACGTCACTTTTATCATCCTGCTGGGGTCGGCGTTCGGAGTCGCATGGGCACCAAACTGGACCAGCTTCGTCATCCTGGAGTTTGTCATAGGAGCCTCCAATCATGGGGCCTTCATCATTTGCTGTGTTCTAGGTACGTCAACTGGCTGGCTGCACCAAAGTTTTATGTTCACAGAACCTCGTCCTGTTTTTCTGCATGTTTTTCTAAAGAATGAAAGCATCGAATATTTAGGCTAAGTCTGATTTGATAGACGTGAATGAGTAAACGCATCTTAGGGCTAGGACGCTTCATTGACAACACAAGCTTGACATTAAGGCAGTATTCCTATTATCATATTCCTCCTTGGTTGTTACATTCTTACATTCTGAATGTATAAGTATGCCTCGAATATGTTGGTAAAATGTATTGCGTGTATATGGGCATGTGGTATTCTTTAACGTAAAAATCACCAAACATATATAATTGTTTACTTGCATTTTATACTACTGTAATTTATATGTATTGATATTAGCAATTGATTTAAACGAAATTGTAGATTTCACTTCGATCTGTGATGAATATTTGTTACAGGTCTGGAAATGGTTGGGCCTAGCAAACGTGTTTGGGCCGGAATCCTAGTGCACGCATTCTTCGCCCTTGGGCTGGTGTACCTTGTGGGTATGGGCTACTTCCTGAGAAACTGGTTCTGGGTACAGATTGCAGTAGCCACACCCTGCGCATTCTTTCTTTCCTATTGGTTGTGAGTAAACATAGAACATAGATACACTCAGTATGGGAGATTTGGGGAAGCAAGATATCAGGGATGAGACATTTGAATGTGTACATAGGATGACGCGAGATAAGAAGTCGTCGGTAGGAATGTGTTAGAGTAAGGAAAATAACGTTTAGCATTATCAATGCTGTTCTAATTTTGGCGATGAATACTGTGATGACATGTTTTAATATAGTGTCAAATAAGTGCACGTTATTATTTTCATGCAGCAGTGACAATACCCAAATCTTAAGTAATAATAGGGGGTGTTAAATAGAGCAAGAATCAGCTAGATGTCAACAAAATCGTTATTCGAACTCAAAGTCAAAAAGGGAAAATGATGAGCAAATGCGAGATTTAATACTAACAGTTGTTCAGGAGGAATAAGCGTTGGGTGTCTTCGGTAGTATGTTTCAGTGAGGTAGCACTATTATGTCGGCATCAGTTCCACGCTATCACACGAACATATCGCAGCCTCCCAAAATACACACACATACACTACACGCATGCATCTTGCACACAGGGGAGTCCATCCTTTAATGACCTTAGCTGTTATTAGGACGGTAAACAAAATAAAACGAAAACCAAACCAAGCCTGCTTCATCGACGACGAGTAAATATCGGTCAAATCCAAGTAGTGTCACCCTCTCAAAGCTAAGAATGGGGTTATGGTAACAACTGAAAAGGTTCACTTATGATCATATCGAAAACTTCGACCTTTATATCACACGAGTAAATAGCAACTCCCCTGATGAAATCAGGATAGCGACAATCAAACTTGCCAAACGTCTTCATGATCCTGTATCTGTGGAATCTCTGTGTTTTACGTGTGTCTGTCAGGGTTATATTGAGTCGATTGTAGCATACTGTAGCTACAGTTTGCAGTATACATATTCTATGAAGTGCTGAAGTCAATAGTAGAAACTGAGTGACACCGAAACAAATAAATACAGTACCATGACATAACCCAAAAACATAAAAATTATAATAGAATAAGGAAACAATTTTTAGTTAAGAGTGTGAACATTTGGAAATTTTGGAGAGAGAGGGAGCGGTGACAGAGATAAAGAGAAGACAATGAGGATTTAAAAAGTAAAGGGTGTTGTCATTGCTAATCTTTAATAATATGAATCAGAAATATAAGGGCAAAAACTAGTCATCACCGACAGTTTTAAAGCAACGTGTTACCTTCATTACTATACAAAAATGCAAAACGTCTTACGTGTTATGTTCTAGTTTCATTCCTGAGTCTCCACGCTGGCTGATCAGTCAAGGGCGGTTCGGCGAGGCGGACAAGATTATTGAGAAGGCCGCCAGGGTAAACAAGAAACCGCTACCTCCATCTTTAATGAAGGTCAACAAGGAGGAGAATGACACGGGCTCAGATGGAAGAATCTGGCATCTCTTTTCTAACAGAGTGCTCCTTACAAGGACACTTATAGTCTATTTCAATTGGTAAATAGCACGATAATGAATTCTAACATCTCTGACGTCTTGACGCTATAAGAGTTTTGTCAATTCATTAGATTATCATATGATCACTTTATAATTTTATTCATCTCATTTTTTCGGTTTATACTGTTGATTAATCTCTAGTTGTAAACATTTTGTATTTTTTCTGGGTTCATAAGTTAATTGTTACATTTGAACAATTTCATATTTTCTAATTATAACTAATTCACGTGAATTAAGTACTGTTTATTTTGCGTCATTTTTGGGACTATCCCCCAGTATTTCTAATTCTCAGTACACACAATTATATCTCGGTTGTAGCTGTTGAACTATTTTCGAATGAAATCGCAAGCTCTTTCCATTCTTGATCATTCCTTTTCCTGAATGTAACACGAAGCTTACATATCATGAAAACCATGTATAGTTTATTGATCACAGACTATAGTTAACTAAAACAATGAACCGTATCGAACTATTCCTGTTACAGGGCTGTCGTCAGTATGATATACTACGGAGTGACCATGCACACTGGGAATATGAATGGGGATTTTTACCTCAACTTCTTTCTGTTAGCTGTTGTCGAGTTCCCCGCGTACTTTATTTCGATAGCACTCCTCGATCGGTGGGGAAGGAAGAGGACTCACTGCGCATGTATGCTACTTGGTGGAATCGCATGCATCTCTACGATATTTCCGGTTATTTTTGGCGGTCCAGGTGAGACAATACTTCACATGTTTAAAAAAGAATGAAATGCTGGGGATGGGCAATACTCAAACTGGTTTGTGTTCAATCTGTTAGGCGGTGCAAATATGCTTCTGTTCCCTTCAGAGAGATATGCAAGATGTTCTACTTCGATTTGTTGACTTTGCTTTAATGTAGAAAGTCAAATACTTGTTTCTTGTTGAATTCGACATTTTACAGCCATTTATGGTAACTATCTCCGACAAAAATGTTTATGCATCATATATTTAGATGTCGGAAAGTCCACATGAACTTATCTGAATTGTTGCCTCTATCTTTTCCGTAGTGTACGCTTTTCCCTTCCTAAACATTATATCTTAAGAACTTACTGAGATATGTTAATTAAAATGTTCCTAATCAAATACTTTGCATAAGGGAAAATGTTCAGTCTATGTCAGCGAGCATCCTCGGAAATAGCATAGTCAACAGATCTACGACTAGCCGAAATGTTATACTCATTCATCAAGTATTTAGCATTTTCAAAAAAGAATTTTGTGATGTGAAACACATGATTTCAACTTTTCCCATCTCTATTGAACTGCTTTTCCGATGCAACAATTTCATATTACATAAACGACTAATATACAGTATTATTGAATATTTATATTGCACCTACAACTGTCAGATCCAGTAGATATATTGGTTATCTCCCCTGCCAACAGGACAAAACAATGTTCGCAGTCAATAACACACCAGAGATCTAGTCATCAATATCAATTAAATGAGCACTGCTGTTAAGATTTTTCAATACAAACCCCTATCAGTTCAATAAAGCCAGGTGCATTAGCTTCATTTTCAGTCAGATTTTATATTTTGATTCAATAGAATTAATAAAAAAAAATAAGTAGCTAATGACAGTTAACATTGCTACTCTATTTTGAGTGAGATCTCGACTTGAGGTAGGGATATATCGAGATAGGCCGTAATCATATTCAATATATAAATCTCTTCTTGCCTATGTGTAAAAATGTTATGTATGTCACAAAAATGATTTAAAGTCTTATACATACAACGAAATGTTGTGGTCATAGATCATTTCAACAAATATAACCTATACATGTATCGTCTGTTCCTGTTGTTGTATTTCCTGTCTAAGGTATTTGCCCATGCCGCGACTTTTGGTATTCTCCTTTGCTCTTCATGTGCTATGCATCAAAGTATCTAGCAGTCAATGTGTTCATTGATTTTTAGTAGATCACCAGACAAACCTCGTAAATAAAAAGGATGTCATGTTGTAATCAAGTTTGATAACTATGACTCTCTCGCTTCAATTTTCCAGATTTGCAGCCCCTTACACTGGCCCTTGCCATAGTAGGTAAAATAGGAGCGGCAGGAGCATTTGGTGTAATCTATATTTTCTCAGCTGAACTGTTCCCAACAGTTGTCAGGAACGCCGGAATGGGTAGCAGTTCCTGTGTGGCACGTATCGGAGGCATGCTCGCGCCATATGTAGCTTCTTCAGTAAGTCAGTTTACAACGGTATGCTGGTCCCATAATTTAACATTCACTGAGGAAGCGCTGAAATAACACTGAAATTGTTAATTTTATGATTGGCTAATTCTAAATATAAAAATTATAAAATGTAGATTGGCATTTACGTTCAGTGCTTTATCATATCACTGTTGCACTAAAACGGTATTTTGTTTGTAGGGTGACCTGGTGGGCGGGAAGTTCGGGAAGGCCTTACCTTTGGTGATATTTGGAGCGTTTTCGGTAGCTGCTGGACTGATGTGTTTACTTCTACCAGAAACATTGCATAAAAAACTTCCCGAGACAATTGAGGATGGTGTCAACTTCGACAAGGGAAGCAAGAAAACGTTATACGAAAAAAACTGATCATTTTCTACCATTATGTACAGCATTGTTTTAATTATACATGTATTCATCTTTTAATAAATATATGGAATATAAAAAGAACCAACCTATTTCAGTAAAACTGCTAGTCTACGGTCAACTATACAAACTCAAATCTCAATAATAACAACCATATAACCATATGTTATGATAAATGCTACTTGCCAACAAGTTAATTGAACAAAATAGTGCTGCATATCAAAGTTTACTTGGTCAGTATTACTGTTAAATACTCACATATGCAAGGTTCGGAATAATTTCAAAAAATGATAATTAGACCAAACATTCCTAATTGGTAAGCATGTATGTCTTTTCATAGCGTCAAAAAAGTCAACTTATCAAAATAAGTTATAAAAAAGTTCACATAATACAAGAAGTCTATCACTATACTTCCATACATTACAATTATAAGCCCAACTGTCAAATTAAACGTCCCATCATTTATCTCTTCCGTTTGTCAAAACCATTACAATCCTAAGAATACCAGCAAATAAATACAAAACTAATTTTCCATAGACAAAACTTACTTTATCCTCTTAGTTATTTTTTTGAGACAAACCATCAACAAAAATGAGACACCCCTGAGCATTTCCTTTCCCCCTGTACGGTCCTCCTTCAAGTCCCTTTTCCTTCTTTCTACTTCCTAGTAGTGTCTATGAGCCGCTATGTGGCCTAACCTATTCCACATCCTCTTATGTTTTCTAGCACGATGTTTCTGCCTTTTTTCCTCTTACATTTATATTCCTGACGACTCCTGAACACCTAATAAAATAGAAATAAATGAAGAAATTAATAAAATTTCCCGTCAGTTTTTCCATATTTCATGCTTCTAGTCCCTTGTTTTGTTCTTTGCATTCCATGTTTGATACCGGTTAAAACAGTTCAAAGATTCATAACCTTTGTAGATAGTCTTTTCACTCTTTCAAAATGTTTTCGTCCATTGAGATGCTTTTACCTTGGTAGCAAAACTGTGTATCACCTAGTTTGATTGGTTTATTATTCGTTGTATTCACTCATTTTCGTTTTCATGCTCTTCATTTATATAATGCATGTTCCTGTAGATGGTCCTTGGTGCGAGACATCATTCGGTCATGGGTCCTTCAACTGTTCCACCAATCGCTACTGTAATCCTCTATATTAGTCCTAAGTGATGTCGATATGAGTCGGTCGATTAGGATTGTGAATAGTAATGGTAAAATGACACACCCGATGTGGTTTTGAACCCCTCTTGGTCCACTCTGTCGAGTCCAACAGAACACTGGTAGTCATCGTACACGTGCTTGATCATGATATTTTTTGCAGGAATTCCGTTTACTACTTAAACAGATCAAAGGATGTCTCTATGAACAGATTCTACTAAATTCGTATATTAACTGGCATTCCACCCTTGTCGATACCTGATCGTCCCTTTCTAAAGCCAACCAGTTACCTTATGATGTTAACTCTGCAGCTTTGATTTTCTGCGACATACTTACAACTTTGTATAGACAGAACATTAATACCATGCTGATTTTGGCAGTTTGGCAGTTCTACTTTTTCGTGAAGGGCGATGATGGCAGTTTTCTCCAAATCATCCAGTTCTTCCTTCTCTGTCAAGATTTTTCCAAGTAACTCCGTCACCACATTTGCGTTTCCGTGCCCGCTTTATTACGGTCGACAGTTTTTTTGTCCGTTCTAGGTTCATTTCCACGTTTCATTTCATGAATACCGACTTTGATTCTGTGGTCATCTGTCCATTGTTTACCAAGAGTTAGGTGGTTTGCTGCCAATGATTTATTCTGGTTTCCGGTGGATCTCTATCCATGGCTTCATTTTTTTGTGTGATAAGCTTTCAAGTCTTGTCCTTCATATGAAGCCCGTGGCTTGAATTGATGTCCCAAGAGAAACGGAATCGCAGTAACTGCACAGAGTATTGTTGCATCATATGTGAGTTAAATATGAATTTATGAAAAATCGTGGCTACCATCCTTTAAAGACTTGTTGTGTTGTACAGTGTCTTAATGTTCCCTCTCCTGGCTCTATTCATTGCATCATTCGATTTCTCTCAATAACTCTGCTTTTCTTCACACTTATTATTGCCGGTGTCTACCTTCTGGTATTGGTTATCTTACGCTGCTGCTTCTTCTCCAACGCTGACAATGTGAAATAATCTGCATATGTTCTCAAAGAAACATATTATAATAGCCTCCAACAAACAAATACACATTAAAGACGTTGTTATTAGAAATTCCAAATGAACAGCTGGACCAAACTAAACCTAACAGCAACCTTTTCTCAGCATATAAACAGCTGTGACTGTAAATTTTTGTTGTAAATTTTCGAAAGTATGTAGATTGATCCTTGTTTTAAATGTACTTACATGAGTTCCCATTTCATGAGATTTATGAAACGAATCGTAAGAAATTTTCAACTTAGCGAGCCTCTGACGAGCTAAAATGAACCAAAACGTGACGAGTTTCATAAACTTCATATGAAATGCAAACGAATGTAAGATCCTTTTTATCCCATAATCGAGATTTGTGGCATTTATTCGTGTAAAACGACAATTTTCATGCAACCTTGAAATGTAAAAAGCCGCCATTTTGACTCCAGTGCGTAAGTCTGTGACATTATGTACTTGTCCTAGGCTTGACGTCACAATTGAAACTTACAGCCAATCACATGGCTGATAGAAAAATATGACATGGGTATATGTGATTAATAAAATCTATTACCTGTAACTGAGCGAGATCGGGTTATCTCAGTCGAGGGTTAAGATTCTGTAACAAAATCCCAACTAAGGCGTAAGCCGAGGTTGAGATGCTACAGAATCTTAGCTCGAAACTGAGATAACCCGATCTTGCCAAATTACAGGTAAAAAAATAAATTCTCGCACCTTTTGTTTCGAAAAAAACTGTTCAATTTTGCTAAAAACTACAAGAGGCCCAATGGGCCTGCATCGCTCACCTAGTATTAATCTCACACTTGTAATCTTAAAAGTGGACTAAAATACAGCTACAGGCAAAATATCAGTGTTTGATTAATAAGAACCTATTAAACGATTTAAAAATATGACGCCTGTGACCATGAATGTCGAACAAGGACATCAGGTTGAAAGTGGATCAAGGTTATTCATTTGAACAAACTTGGTAGTCCTTCATCCCAGCATGCTACAGGCCTAATTTCAGTACCCTGGGGCTTTTGGTTATTGGGCTTTTTGGTTATTGAGAAGTTGTTTGAAGATTTTAAAACATTTGACCCCTGTGACCTTGAACGCTGGTCAAGGACATTCATTTGAACAAACTTGGTAGCCCTTCATCCCAGCATGCTACAGGTCCAATATAAGTACCCTGGGCCTTTTGGTTATTGAGAAGAAGTTGTTTAAAGTAAAAAGTTGACGACGGCGGACGCCGCACCATAACATAAGCTCACTTGCCCTTCGGGCAGGTGAGCTAACAAGGATCCTGCCTTGGGCCCCAAATGATAATGACCTCTTCACTTATTAAGCTACGTTTGAATGCTTCTTGAACGCTGGTCAAGGACATTCATTTGAACAAACTTGGTAGCCCTTCATCCCAGCATGCTACAGGTCCAATATAAGTACCCTGGGCCTTTTGGTTATTGAGAAGAAGTTGTTTAAAGTAAAAAGTTGACGACGGCGGACGCCGCACCATAACATAAGCTCACTTGCCCTTCGGGCAGGGGAGCTAACAAGTATCCTGCCTTGGGCCCCAAATGATAATGACCTCTTCACTTATTAAGCTACGTTTGAATGCTTCTTGAACGCTGGTCAAGGACATTCATTTGAACAAACTTGGTAGCCCTTCATCCCAGCATGCTACAGGTCCAATATAAGTACCCTGGGCCTTTTGGTTATTGAGAAGAAGTTGTTTAAAGTAAAAAGTTGACGACGGCGGACGCCGCCCCATAACATAAGCTCACTTGCCCTTCGGGCAGGTGAGCTAACAAGTATCCTGCCTTGGGCCCCAAATGATAATGACCTCTTCACTTATTAAGCTACGTTTGAATGCTTCTTGAACGCTGGTCAAGGACATTCATTTGAACAAACTTGGTAGCCCTTCATCCCAGCATGCTACAGGCCAAATATAAGTACCATGTGCCTTTTGGTTATTGAGAAGAAGTTGTTTGAAGATTTTAACATCTTTGACCCCTGTGACCTTGAAAGTGGGTCCAGGCCATTTATTTGAACAAACTTTGTAGCCCTTCATCCCAGCATGCTACAGACCTAATATCAGTACCCTGGGCCTTTTGGTTATTGAGAAGAAGTTGTTTAAAGTAAAAAGTTGACGACGGCGGACGCCGCACCATAACATAAGCTCACCTGCCCTTCGGGCAGGTGAGCTAACAAGTATCCTGCCTTGGGCCCCAAATGATAATGACCTCTTCACTTATTAAGCTACGTTTGAATGCTTCTTGAACGCTGGTCAAGGACATTCATTTGAACAAACTTGGTAGCCCTTCATCCCAGCATGCTACAGGTCCAATATAAGTACCCTGGGCCTTTTGGTTATTGAGAAGAAGTTGTTTGAAGATTTTAACATCTTTGACCCCTGTGACCTTGAAAGTGGGTCCAGGCCATTTATTTGAACAAACTTTGTAGCCCTTCATCCCAGCATGCTACAGGCCCAATATCAGTACCCTGGGCGTTTTGGTTATTGAGGAGAAGGCGTTTGAAGATTTTAAGACATCTGAGCCAAGTGACCTTGAAAGTTGGTCAAGGTCAAACATTTTAACAAACTTTGTAGCCCTTCATCCCAGCATGCTACAGACCTAATATCAGTACCCTGGGCCTTTTGGTTATTGAGAAGAAGTTGTTTAAAGTAAAAAGTTGACGACGGCGGACGCCGCCCCATAACATAAGCTCACTTGCCCTTCGGGCAGGTGAGCTAACAAGTATCCTGCCTTGGGCCCCAAATGATAATGACCTCTTCACTTATTAAGCTACGTTTGAATGCTTCCGCGTGAAGATGTTGTCCGTCCTGACATAGATTACAACGTATTTCACAGTGTAGATCATATTTTATCTACAACATCAAAACTTAACAATAACGGCAAAACAGATTATTTATAATGCAAACTGTCAATTTCAAGCAGTTGACGCTCAGATGAATACAATATTGTAGTGTAAAAATTCTGATAAATGTCATGTAAACGTACAAGACAGATCGGACAAGATAGAAAAAACTAGCATGGGGTATGACGTGTGATATCTCTGTTTGAGGTGCTAGAAAAATCAGATAAGATATTTGAAACAGAACAAGAGGCCCCATTGACCTGCATTGCTTATCTGGTATTGATCTCACACTTGAACCTTTGAAGTGGACCAAGGTCTAATATATTCAAATAGACTAAATTAAAGTACATGCCAAATATCAATACATAAAGTTCTGGGTCATCCAGAAGAACCTTACAAAAAATTTCAACACATTTGACACCTGTGACCTAGGTTAAACAAGGTAATTCAGTTGAACAACTTGGTAGCCCTTCGTCCCAGCATATCACTGGCAAAATATCCTCACCCAAGGCCTTTTAGTTATTCATATAGAAAGGTTATCAATACATTTGATCTCTGTGACATAAGATATCTGTAAAGGTTGGGTAAATGACTGACAGGCAGCTGATGCAGCACCATGGCCCGTCGAGCTAAAGATAAAATGCATGGTGAAGCCTGTGCACCGCGCCATCATCGAGGGTGCATTAAGTGTGTGACAAAATTGATGATGCTACCTAGTTCAACTGCATAAAGTGTTGAAGAATAACAGTGAACAGTGAATAGAATAACAACTTTATCTTTTCCCTAACAAAACAAGGCATGCACCTGTGAGGGGTGGGAGAAACAGATAACACATACTGGTGAAAGAGTGGATACACCTGTCTAGATAAACATGTACCTTGCATAGGAAGAGGAGGGAGAAAGTACCAGAACATACATGTGTAATCTGTCCTAAGAAGAACTCAGTCTTTTTCTTATTTCTTATACAGAGTACAGGAGATCTGTCTGGAAAGAAAACAGAACTATGTTTTGTAAATAAATCTCATCATTTTATTCGTGTCCCAAACTTCACACCATGAAAATAATGCTAAATAATTATTCTCTGTGTAGTTACCATACTTTTTTTTGTACGATCCTTTCAGTAAAATTGTCCTACATCACATTTAAGAGACAGTTTCATTACACAAACATAGATTTTTAATTTGATGCCATGGCAACCAATTGGTGCAATTCCCCTCAATGTCAAATATGTTAAAACTTTACCATACTACCACATTGTATGCGACTCAAATTTCAATACACTGCCCTGCAAGGTTGGTAATCTAACACTGCAAACTTCTGAGTTATATTTACTAGGTAACAAATTATTTGCAAATCATATCAGGAAAAACATACATGTATTTGTACTAAAATTCTCCAGGTAGAAATTGTTTCCTGTGTTCAAGACTAGCAGTTCCTATTGATATCTGATGCATATGTATTACACCAGATGATTCCTCAGGTCAATTACCAACATTAACAGACTCAGCAAGACACCATTGGGCAAAATTGCTATGACTTGAATAAAATTATCTGGTCAAAAATATAAAATATTGATGATCAAGAATTTTATAAAATGAATTTCTACAGACATAATTGGCAGCGCTGATGGAATGACATCATGTGTGACTGTTCTTAACTGACAAAATCACATGTTACAGGCCGTAGTGCACAAAAAGAGAGGCAGGTTGTGATTGCGTGTTACTAATCCACAGGCAGGTGAAGACGCACAGACTGATGTCTATGGCTTTGCAGCTCTTTTCAGCCAAACCAATACATGGTTTACACTGTGTTAGGGAATGAGTCGTTAAGCCTCAGCCTTTGTCGGTGTAGAGTCTGTATTATTTATTGCCTCATCAGGCAAGACACATTTCCACAGGCCGTAAGTCTTTCCAACTGTTGTCTGCCACAGTCGTAAAGTTCCGTCTTCGCTCCCACTTGCATACAGCTCGCCGTCCGGAGAGAATCGTACACAATGCACTGGTCCAAAATGTCCTTTGAATGATTCTGTAACGAAATAATATTTGTACCAGTTAATGAAGCTAGTCTGGTTAAATGTGACGGTAAAATTGAATTACGAAGAACATTTAATCAATGGCTAAGCGTGCAAAGTTGATAGGAGCTTATTTGCAATCTGACTTGTTTGTTTTTGTAAACAATCATAATAATTTAAACCACCTCACAGAATTGTAAAATTGTATATGATTTTACTTAAAGAATGAACAGGAAATTAGCTATTAGTAACTCTGCTTAATATTACTAATAGCTCTTGTTAAGTCTTTGTCATCTACACTTAAGTAGAGGTTTTAATTCAGATAGAAGCAATTCGATACTGTTAATATGAATATTTTAAATCAAATGCCACCAAATTTTGATGATGAAGCACTAATAAAATTTAGTCAAAACAGTACACATTTGCAGCAAATCTCAATCTGTTTACGTCTATTACCAACATAAAAATGAATCACATTGATAATTTGTTGATGTAAGTTTGAAAAGTCATACCAAGCTCCTCTCCTGTCTCATAGTCAAACTTGTACATCTTGAAGTCCTCTCCACCCGCTACAAACACCTTCCTAGACATGTTAAGTGAGGCAGAATTGATCTGAGTTGGAGCTTCAAACTCTTTGATTTTCTCTAACCTGAAGGAACAAAAACATGTGTGGGAATTATGTAGTAGGACGAGGAAAAGTGATAAAGACAGTGCGGTCACTGGGGCTCGAACCCACGACCCTTGGCTCTCCAGCCAGACTCTCTACCGCTAAGCTAAAGGGAAATTCCCTACAGCTGACATTTGTAAGCAACCAAATCAATGCACATCTTTTACACTATTCCCAACTTTTTTTCAACACCAACCCAACTGCTTTGACTCCCTGCCAAGGGTTCTCCTACCTTGAACGGGGAGGGCCAATGGCGCCAGCTTATAGTAGAAAGAGGAAACATAGTGCTGTCGTTGGGGCTCGAACCTGCGACCCTTGGCTCTCCAGCCAGACGCTCTACTGCTGAGCTAAAGGGAAATTCTCTACAGCTGACGCTTGTATTAGGCAACCTTATCAATGCACATTTTTATAATTAGTTACCAATAACCTTCAAAGCTATCAACTTCGACCTTCTGTTATGCTGTTGTAAAATCTGTTTTGTTATGTATAATTGTTCAGTAAAAACTTATAAAAACAATTGTAAATGAAGTTCAAACAGTCTAGAAGCGGTAGTTGGATGGCTGTTTTTATCAACAAGGGACATAACTCTCTATGTGCAGACATAAAATTAACTCATATCTATTATTGTAAATCAATAATTGTATAACCAGAATAAATTATTTGATACTCTAGTTTGATAAAAAAGTGACTTTATAACCAAACAATGGGAATTAACATTTTTCTATTACAGAAAAGCAATTATAAAATAAACTATCTTTTAGCTATCAACTGGTTCAAATCTGGTAAAAGTTCCTTAGATAAAATGTGTCATTTTTCAAGGGAAAACCTATAAAGTAATTTGACAGATACCAACCCTTGTTATACATATATACAAGTATACCCCCGCATACATGTAAATTGTATATTGACAATGGAAATGTTATTCTCTGTATTCTGGTTTAAATTTTTGATCCCATCGCATTTTCTTTTTTTGGGGTTGGCTACCTGAACTATCAATTTTATCTCTTTGTTGAGAGCCCATTTTCCTCATCATTTTCTTGCTTAAGAAAGGGGAAGTTTGATCACAGTCACATATACGCTTCAGTTTCTAGGCTTATTCAAAACACTGAGAAGACTGCGAACAGGATATTATAATAAAACAAAGCGGAAACGGGCAGAACATTCTAGAATCAGCAGAAATAGGACAAAATCATACAGTAAATCGACAAAATTGTAAAGTGCGTATTTTATGTTAAAATTGTAAAATTTAGGCTAAAAGAGGAATGGTTGGCACCTCTGCATGGTACTGCCACTACACAAAAAGTTTCAAAGAAATCTATTGAACAATGAGCAATTGCATAGCCAGACAAAGTTATGTCAATTTTTTACATAAAGGGGCTTAACTTTTTTGGAAAGATCTGAATTGCAAAATTATTTCATGGGGCACAACAACATATGGTACTGTCTCTACACAGAAAAAAAATTCATAGAAATCTATTGAAAACTAGAAAATGTCTGTTAGACATGAATGTCCCCGCTCATGGACGGGACGGGAGGGACATGGGTATACGTAACACTATATGCCCCCCCCCCCCCCCCCCCCCCCNAAGCGAATGCATAACCAGACAAATTTTGTCAACAGACCGATGGACACGCCGAATCCAGTATACCCTCCCCTCCCCAACTTCATCACGGGGGGTATAAATATCTGAGGATGCAATCAAACAAAGTAAGGAACAAGTTATCAATGTCTAGATTTAGGACAAGGTGTTACACTATCCCAAAAACAGCATACATTGGAATTTGTTATCTGAATGGTGTGAAAGATGAAACACATCTCCTTATAGATTAAGTACCAATCAGATATAAGTGTACACATAGACAGCATTTTCAACAAAACTATTATTTTCTAGCCAAAATAAATGCATTTGTCTACTGAGTAATGAGAAAATGAAATTTGAAACTAGAAATATGTCAGAATGACATGAAAGTCACCCCATCATTCTGTATGATCATTTTCCGATAAATCATTGACCAAGCTACAACGGATATATTTCCACCTGTCGATCAAAATAGTAAACAATTACCAGGTGTAAATACATACATGCTGTTCAGGTAGCCATGGCAACACAGGGAATTAATAGGAAAGCATGTCGCAAATATAACGTTAGCGTTGACCGACACCTCGAATACGGGGTGATCTGCGCGCTGACACGTGCACGGTCACCTGGCATGGGCAGAACAGGTTATTATATAACAATGTTGTTTTCACAACAATAAGTTTCAGAAAAAAATCAATCTTATATACGGATAAATCTTCTACTATTTTTTGTTATGAAATACACTTTTCCAAGTAGTTTTCTGATCGTCTGCAAATCCGACTGAATCGGTCATCGACATCGGCAGAATGTGTACTGTACGTTTAAAGGCAGTCACTCCGACGAGGACCGCCAACAGCCAAATTCGCAAGACATGAAGAACACCAAACAATTGTGATATCAGCAATTCTCCTTCGAAAAGAAAAGATCGGAATGTATTTTGCTGTTTTTAATTTTCAAACTCAAACTTTTATCATTATCGGTTCAATTCGCATGGATGTCACTTTGTAAATTCCTGCCGGTTAATAATATCACGCAACTTCGACTCTTTGCGACCTACACAAACTTGCTAACTTCGCCACTTTACCCGTGTCGTTTTGACACATTCCTACGGACAAGATTAAAGAGTTCAGCAAGATTTTACCCACGAACGACATTTTAACCACAGAGTAATAAATCAGATGCAATTCTTCGTAATGTTTCCCAATACGTGGTATTTATCAAACGTAACGTCCTGAAAAGTTGAGCCTACTTTACTCGAGTTTATTTATCCGATTCTACAGTATAATATTACTTAAACTTGCAACTTTTCGTAATTGTTAAATTGGCAATGCAATCAGGGATTATTCAACGAAAGTTAGCAGTTGTATTGCTGTTAGCATATATCAAAACATTTCCGAAAATCCTGGAAAAATTTACGAGAAATGGTCGCGACCAAGGACTGGTTTTGGATTGTTCTTGAGTATCGTGGACACCCCTTTCTTAACACTTTATTTTCCCCTTAAAAAAGTGCGCCTATACGCAAATATTAACGGTAGTCGTTGGTCAGACATAACATATCAAAATCAGTCAATAGCAATTTATAATACGACAGTTTACCCCTTCATGAACCTCAAAGGTGCCTATTCCTGTTTGAAAAGGAAATCAATATCTGAGTTATCCAAGAGCTTGTAATAAGCGCCTGGTATATTCCGACAGAAGCAAGATACACAACAGCCCTCCTAAAAGAGGTCAAAATCTGGGACTGAAACCAAAATTAATAGTCCCCACTGGGGTTCCCCCAGGGGTGACTAAAATTATTGTCAAGTAAAGTTTTTACCATATTAATCAAAACCAGCCAATAAAAACAAGCTTATGACATATACACAATTCACTTAAATACATGTTAATTATCATATATCATTATTATAACTAATGCTGAAACAGGGATATGTCGAATGCTCAACTGTTTTGCATTGTTGCCACACTGGGTTGTCTCCCCTATATCATAATATCAGGAACTGCTTGTGCAGTTAGAGTTCCACCTTTTTACCACAGTAATAGGCACAAAATATTTATTTTCCTGTTAACATAGTATTACATATAAATATATTTATTCAAAAACAATTATGAACTTCAGGCCTTTTTTACAGAGATACAACATTCTAAATATTTATTATAATTACTCGGGGCACACGTATAAGCTCCTTTCTATGTAAGCCAGAGATCCAGGGTACAAATCCCTATAGTTGAAATGCTTTAATAAAAAAAAACTAATTATAATAATAAACATTATATGTTCTGCATATAACTCTTTGCTTTAGTAAATCATCAAGCAACTCCAGGTCAGAAAAATACCTAACAAAATGGAACTCTTTTCGTTGGAAATAAGAACAGAGCACTGATGCTCTTTACCTTAATGTTTAATGGCAAAGCCTAGGTGCTAAATGAGTGATTAATGCATGTGCAAAGTTAAATCATTTGTTCTTTTGTGAAACAAGTGCATATCCTGTACTTTTTTGTCTATGTCCAATTTGGAGTTTTCCTGATTTGAACAAAGCCTTTTCTATTTTAAAAATCAACCTGAACTACACAAGATGTTGAAAATGCTCTGCTAATATGAAATCATTGTGACTACTAGAATTTCTTCTTATTATTACACTAACAAAACACATCCATAGCAACTGTAGGAGGCTTTGCACTGTATTTTATTAAAACCAATCTAGTGGAATAAAGGCTAACTTTGATTTACATGAAGTGAAAACTTATTTTGCAAGATTTCCAAAAAGGTCTGTTTTCTTTGTCAAGCAAAGAGTGCCAATGACTGGTGTCTCAACTCACCACTGAAACAACTCACTAAGCCATGCAGAATTAGTAAAGTTAGCTGTCAAAGACTCTGGATACATTTTACCCAATGGTAACATGACAGAGGCGATGTCATGGTGTAAGCTCACAATCAGTTTGTGCCAAGTAAGCTAATGGAGACATATAGGAAACAATCAAACCCATAATACATTATATCAGATGGAAGCTCAAGCTGAAAGAGTCCAGTTGACATCTTACGTTTCTGCGTTGTAGAAGCTGGTGAAGTTGCCGTGGGTGATGAGGAGCAGCATTTGGTCAGTTGACAGTTCCAGGCTGCTGGGGATGGCAGCGAACTCCAGCTTTTTAACCTCTTCACCACTCGAGGCATCCCACAATCTGCCGCAGTAAAGAATATTTAAACATTATTATAATTTGTATGTAAAAAGAGGTTACAAAAGTCACTAGTGGGCCTTATATAAATCACCTCTTGAAATTTATGTGATGGTGTTATGTATAACACAGTTATTACTGTAAACAATACCCATGTATATATACTTCTATACATACCTGACAGTTTTGTCGTCTGAGGCGCTGATGACCTGAGTGTTACATTTGGTAAATATGGCTGTTCTTATATTGGAAGTGTGACCACTCAAACAAGTTTTGGGATCTGTAAGTGTAAAACAAATGATAAAACCAGGAGGCACGGTAGTCTAGTGTTAGGACGCCGGGCTTGTGACCGAAGGGTTGCATGTTCGAGTCAAGCCACGGCACTGTGTTGTATCTTTGAGCAGGATACTTTACTCTACTTGTTACAGTCTACTCAGCTGTAAATGAGTACGTGGCTGGGCAGTGCTAAAATTGTTGAATGCTAGCTGTGAGCGCTGAAATGGCAGCACTGACTATATGCTCCCCAGGGAGTTGAGAAAAATATTGGCTGGTTGCAAAGGCTCTATTACCACTGATAATAATGTGTGAACCGCTTTGAGACGACCTAGGAACTAGGTTGTGATAAAGTGGTATATAGGAACCTCAAATTATTATTTTTATTTATATGACAGTAGTGTTAAAACAGTTTGTTTGTATACGAAATAAAAGGTTTAATTTGACACGCCCAATTAATTTATTTTCCATACAGCATACTGCGTAAAAACATGTAAATATGTATATTATATCTTTGCTGCCAGTACCTATATACAAACAGTACCAAGATAAATTGCATTTATAAGACTATGAACACAACTTAATTGGAGCAGTCATATTAAAGCTTCTCTTCTAGCCTCACATAACCAGGAATGCTGTTTGCATTGAAAACACACAAAACATCAACACCTCAAATATAAAGAAATAAAGTAATAACAATTATAACTTGGTGTAAATGTTTGTATTCAACAGTTTTTACAACATTCATGCTCCTTTGAATGCTAATTAGTTATATCCATATTTAACACAAAGTCCTAGCAGGCTTCGTGCAATACGAATGTAACAATTTTGCTCTCCTAATAACATGTTCAATGTATGATAAAAACCCGCTGTTAAATTCCTATATTTAATCAAACAGTGACATAAAACTACTGTACCGAAGTACATGTACATTGTATAAGTGATATAAATAACTGCGAGAATGGTTACCAGCTTCTGGTCTCTGAAGATCAAATATTCGCAGCATTTTCTCATTACTGCCAGTTAGTAGTAGGTTACTGTCTGTGGAAAAGTCCACGCTCTTGACAATATGTTTGTGGGTAAAGGTGTGCAGCTCTTCTCCACTGAGGGCATCCCAAAGTTTCCTGTAACACAAGGACATTTAGAAATGTGGAGTCAAGCCATTGACACCTAATAATGCATTTTGACCGATCTGTATCAATAGTCCATTATCAAAACTCATGGGGGAATCAAGAATTAATTATAAGCCAACACCATTAAGCTACTGAATGGCAGGGAAGATTGTACCTACGTTTCTTATGGTAATTGAGTGATCTATAAATAGCTGACCCCTCTATCAAATCACACAACCATAAAAAGGGACCACTCATATCTACATAATATCAATAATGTACCAGTATCCATTTCACCATTTTTTTTAAACAAACAACGAGGGATTATATGAAAACAGTGCCAAACTCATGGTCAGAATACTGGATATTATACCTGAAATATAACGGAGTCCTGCTCACAACACAGTACTTTTAATGAATAAATATTGGTTGGTTTCTCACTGATTTAAAAACAAAACTAGGACTGTAAGCCAAAGGCTAACTAATACCTCCGCTGCTATATAAACCAGAACTGTAAGTTAAAGGCTAACTAAGGCAAAGCATTGCAAACCAATCCATAGTCTCTCACCAGTAACAAGTATTTTGCACAAAGGGCACACCTCCCTCAAAAAGGGTTGAAATCCCAAATTAATAAGCTGATGCACAACTACATAAGATACCAATCATTCATGCAAAGTTTCAATGAAATCCACCTGTTAGTTAAGGAGGAGTTGCGCGGACAAGTATTTCGCACAAAGGGGCACACCTCCCTCAAAAAGGGTCGAAATCTCAAATTAAAATGCTGGTGCTCAACTACATAAGATACCGATCATTCATGCAAAGTTTCAATGAAATACACCTGTTAGTTAAGGAGGAGTTGTACGGACAAGTATGTCGCACAAAGGGGCACACCTCACTCAAAAAGGGTCGAAATCTCAAATTAAAATGCTGGTGCTCAACTACATAAGATACCGATCATTCATGCAAAGTTTCAATGAAATCCACCTGTTAGTTAAGGAGGAATATTCCGGACAAGTTACTGTGTCTTTAGATCTGCTATTTATTATCAAGTATTGATTTACTTTTCTCCTTTCCTTCACTGAATTGTCTCTCATTTAACCTGTTCAAGATTTCTCTTGTTATCATCTAGGGCATGATTTTTCTGTCACCCTTAGGGTATGAAAGATGGCATGCAGAAAGAAACAGTATGATGATGTCAAATAACAACTAATTATGACTCCATAATCATCTTTCTACAGGACAGGTAAATGGTAAATCAAACATAACAGACTACTGTTTGTGGAGTTGTGACTGAAGCAACAGGATGTATATATGGGAGAAAAATAATCAACCCCTACCTTGAGGGCATCCTCGACACTCCAGGGCTTAAGCTCACTTTCGCCCTCTGCACTCCTGGAATATGTCATAGCAGCATTGAAGGCTCAGTGTGTGCCACCTTGAATTGTGGATGAGACAAGAAGACTAGTTTGATCCTTTGATGTACATCAAAATTAATAGAGTTGCTTTGCAGTCAGGTGTCGCTCCTCTGTAATCTTCAAAGGACAGGTATCAACCTAGGGTCAGGTGTTTTTACCCGAGATCAATGAAATATCTAGTCGTTTGCCTTCAATTTTGCTATGACATATTCTAAGGGTGCAGAGAGCGAAAGTGAGCTTAATCCCTGGAGTATTGAGGATGCCTTGAGGGTGGAACAGAGTAATCTCCTACCCTCAAGGTAATTATTTGGTTGTCTAACCCATGGTAGTTAGACAACCAAAAACATCACCCCTTGGGTTAGAGATTTCATGTACTGTCATGCCACCAAGGAAAGATTCTATCAGTCCAGTGCAACACAAATTAGGTTCCAACATGTACACAGTAACATAATTCAATCTCATGAGGTATATTTACGCAGAGAAATCGGCTGCTCCAGTAGCCACTTTTGTGGCTTCTGCGTTAAGTGTGGCTCCCCATACAGCTCCTTTATGGCCTTCAAATGTTCCAATCCAATCTCCAGTGTCACCCTGACGAAGCATTGGCTTGCCATCTATAATGATTAAGATAAATTACAACGTATATAAATCAATTAGTCAAATTACAAAAACCAATTTCTGTAGTACAATTACCATTTTTTCAGTAATACATATATACAAAAACACAAGGAAATAAGTTAATAGTTTTAATTCTGGATTTTTGAAAAGTTTGCTCTTCAATGCTTATGCCAACCTCCCAATAATATTATTGAGTATTGACATGAGTGTGTATAGAGAGTGTGTAAGTAGATAATTGTATGAATGTATGATTGAGTGTATGAGTTTAATACAATAATATAAGTAGCTTGTTAATTACATGTATATATATAATGTCATAATTACACCATCTTGGAGAAGATTGTTATAGACCTAGCCTGTTATCTTATCTATTTATATATGTTAATAAATATATATAATAAAATTTGTTAAAACAAAACCTCCCAATAATATGAGTTCAGGATGTGTGATGATCATCAGATTCCTTTGAAGATAGTAACAGCTCAAATTTTTGTGACATTGTCATATTTTAACAAACTAGAAACCGATAGCCTTAATTTAGCTCCATCAATCAAAATATCCTTACTCTAGGTTCATTAGAAGATATATGTACAACACATGATTTTAGTCTTCAGTCACAGTGAGGTGAATTATTAGTTTCCCAGTTAGAACATGGATAGATTATGCATATGTAAAAGCCAAGGAAGATGACTGTAAAGTACTGCTAGCGTTCCCCTCAGATCAGACATGCACACTTGTTAGCAACATCAAGCGTGGTCAGTGGCTGGACGGGTGCCTACCTGTACATGTACAATATACACACATATACTAATTTGCACTTTTGATGATCATCTATACATATTTGTAAACCTGTTATGTCATGTTGAAGATAACAAAAATTCTACAATATTAGCAAGTATACTACCTACATGTATGTTGTCAACTGCCAATTCAAGTAATTAGATTAATTGCCAAGCAGACTGAAGAAAACTTGGTTTTCTGATATGGAAGTGAGAGCGCCAATAGAAATCTCTCAAATTTCGTTTTTGAGATGAAAGACCTAAGCACAGTACAGCAGAACAGGTCTAGCTTTGCATTAAGTGCTGTATTAAAATGTATGCATTACAACAGATTACAGAATTATGTCTATCTAAGTCGTTGCACAGGGGTTCGTTACAAATGTCTGAAATATGCACATATGTTTATGTGTGCTATGGCCCATTTCAGTATGGCATGTGTATTTCACACATTTGTAACGAACCCCTGTGGTCTGTGGTAGTACAAAAACGAACCAGAAAGAAGTATAATATTATCACATGAGCATGCCAACCCCTATAAATTAACTATCAGTCCATATCAGGGTCAACAACAGCACCTGATAATAATATCTCAAGCAAAAGGTTATTAAACTGCTGGTGAGCAAAACACCTTTGATGTAAAAAAAAAATGTGTCAATAAATTATGTGTGTAATATTAATCACGGAATTAGATTAGATTATCTAAGTCTGTGGTGTAATCAACTAAGTTTTCGTGGTGTCAGGTCGTTTCGTGACCTTTTTCCGGGTCGTTTCGGGACATCTCGATTATTTTCTACTGTTTGTTTAGCACACGTGTTTATGTTTGTTTTGTTTACTTTTTAATTGAGTAGTTTTCAAAATTTCAGCAAAACAAACAGTAAGGAGCTCTTTGATTTCATAATTTTAACTTAGGTTTACAAAAAAACACACGTTTGGAGATGCTCCGAGTATACGTACCTCAGTGAGGAGATCACTGTTTTCATAGTTTCAACAATGAGGGTTACAAAAACACACCCTACTAGTCTACATTGTAAAATTTGATACTTTTTATATGCAGAATCAGGGACGTATAGTGACTCTATATACTGTCCCTGGCAGAATTTACTGTCAAAATTTCTCTTAAAAGGGAAACTTGATCAAGCTGGCCACATTAAATAGGGAAAAGAGTAAAACGGGAAAAAAGAAATGTAACTTGTAACATTCATTTATATTTTGATTATATTTTTTATATGTCCCGAAACGACTTGAGTAAGTCCCGAAACGACTTAATTTTGTCCCGAAACGATTTCAGGACCCCCAAAATGACTTTGGGACTTCCGAAACCACTTGTTTTGTTGCTCTCCTCTGTACTCCTTCTCTCATCTCTATATGTTTCGACTTATTATGGGAACCGTACGGATAGTCATTTATGAGAAAATTATGGAAAGATTTAGTACCGTACGTAAGCAGCTCATTGAAACTCAATTATATTCTTAACTACGTATTCTCGTCAAATGATATGGATAAAGTCGTGACTGAAGGAAAATAGCAGGTGCTGAAACGGCAAATTGCAGTTGACCATATTGCCACTTGTTAACATTAAAATGACCACTGATATTACAGAAGAGTATAATTACCTTTACATGCACTGACGAGAAAATAACCAAAATGGGTTGATTCACTGAAAGCAAGGTCTGTAACAGGCCGTGTGTGGCCACTGCAAGTAAGAGGAGTCTGTCGCATGCCCGTCATTGTGGCAACTTCCTGAATATCTTTGGCGTTTTGGTATCGTTGAAGGAAAATCCAGAGCCACTCCACATCACCGGAAGTTGGTATTTCGGAATGTACAGCTTCGACCTGAAAGTCCCGAAGAAACTCTAATGACGGAAGTCATTGCGCATAATCAGAAGATGGCGGCAAATTTTAGGAGTTAGCATTTTGACAGCCTGAACAAAGTTGTGATAAAAAGTGATCTAAATTGTTAAATTGTTAAATGCAACTTTCAACTGAACCCATTAACATCGGACACCGTGGTAAGCGTCATAGATCGTTACTGAATTGTACAAATTTGGAAGTGTTATAAATGTTTACATAGATTGGCGGAAGGACAAAGCTCAATACACACTTTCAGTGTACAAGCACATATAGCGTGCTCGGGTTCTGGAATATATGTGATATATTATCGCACCCCCTAGTACTAATAAATAAAATAATATGATTTATTAGTAGAAGGCGGTGCGATATCTAGTGGGTACGATAATATATCACATATATTCCAGAACCCGAGCACTAATGACAATGTACAATAATAAAGTTTAATTTTTAATAACTTAATATATTTGTTTTGAATGAATATGTGGCAGATTCTAATTTTAGATAGGACTACGGTCTAGCTCTGCGCTAGAGGGAATTTCCTTTTAGCTCAATCTGTAGAGCGGTGGGCTGAGTCTGAGAAGCTTTGGATACCCGATGGAAGCACACTACTCCTTCCTGTTACACGTATAATAGCGATCTCTGCTTTTCAGAAATTATGGTTTCTCCAAATCTAAGTAACCGAACTGAATAATAATCATGGCTAATGTGTTTGAAATTCTGACTGTAAATTGAGAAATTAGCCTGTTGATCAAAACTTCAAACTGAAAGAGCAGTATGTATACAGCTCTTTCTCAAACATGAATTAAGTTCTTCTGGAAATTTCATTGAAAAAAAAGCTTGAATTGATCAGGAGAGAGAGAATGGACACTGGTAGACAAACATCTTCAGGAATTTGATTAAGTTTTTTTCAAGGTGATTTTGAAACTACATCATGTACATGTATATTTTGATGATAGGTGCCAGGAGTCTCCTTCAGGTCTTTGTATTCTGTGTTGTCTGTTACAGATGGAAGATCAGGATGATACTTTGGCCTCGCTGGACCTGTATGATGACCTGATAACAGACGAGGGGTTAAGTCGTCAATACAACTATGATGAGGTACGTACCAGGCTCCACTCTAAATGGATTGAGCCATCATGAGACATCCCACAATGAACTTTTCATTTCTTCTGTTAAGACATAATATATGCTTATTAGAGACAGCCCAAGTTCTTAGTTATAGATAATATAAAATGTGGCTTTGACAATGAAGTATATATATAAATTCATTGTTGTACATTATGACATACTTAAATGATCAAAAGTTTATACATTTAATAGGCATAGATTAAACAAAAGGCAAAACTTCCCTTTTTCAAATTATTGTAATACAAATATTTTATTTTCAGGTTTATATATAGTAGCAGCATTTTGCTCTTTTAAAAATGTACCAACAAGCTTAAGTTAACCTTTATTATAACAATTGTAACTATTGCAAAATAGTTGTGGAAGTCCTACTCCTTTTTAACAGAATCATTTCATAAAAAACACATGTTGCAATGCATTTTACACATTTACAGTTGTTCAAAATTTGAATCAAATCGAAATAAGGAAAACAAAACAAATATATTTTACCCATGTTGCCATCCAGGAGTTATAAATACCAGCATCAATATAAATGTCCAATTTATCGTCTGCAGAGCCTGTGAAAAATACCAACAAACACTGAAAGATAAATAACTTTATGGGAATTTATACTCAAAGCCAGATAAACTCCTTTGGGTTCCTTCATCTTCTGCATAGAAAGGAGAATACTGCAAGTAAAAAAGTTCTTAGTGGAACTCTTCTTCCCGATTATAACTGGTGCAATGCATTTGGTACCCTTTACCTTAAGATTAATGAGAAGAAAGATTTAGGGCAAGCATCATAATATGTACGTATACAGAGTTATTTTTTATGGCCAAATTACGACGTTAAAATTCATTTATTTTTTGTACTGGTTCCTCTCACTGCATTATCTACTGTACATTTACATTGTATTAGGAAAAGATGTCATATTGCAATCGTATTCCCAGATTTGGCACCAACTTTTATTTACTTTTTATCCCAGCAGGTCTAAGAAATTTTATATAAACACTTTAGGTGCGTTTAATGTCGAACCCATTCCCAGTTGTCTGAATTTATTTTGATATGCTTTAAGTTTAAATGTTTATTATTTTTTCTTGGGACTTAAAGAAACTTTTTCTTTGGTTAGTAAAAAGATAACGAGAAAATTCTATACAGGTATATGTTAAGTCATAATTCAAACTCTGTTTTTTATGCCTACCATTTTATAGGGGTCAAAGGAAGACAGGATTTATGGTGTTATCCATGTTCATCTTATTCTATCACATGACGTTCCATCGCTATTCACTTTCATGATTCAAAAATAAAATATGAAAATACCTCAAATCACTAAAGTGGGTTCATATTTCAGGGTCCCAAGTTCAATTCCAAAGTCACTGTTGCTATTTATATAGGTCAACTACAGGGTCAAGGATTCATGTCTTGACAGAGTTTTGTTTGATATTTTATTTTAACTTTGTTATTGTAATAGAACTGTGTCCAAAATAGTCAGCGTGTTTTTAGGTCACCTGAGCTTTGCTCAAGTGACCTATTCTAAACGCTTTCTGTCCGTCGTCGTCCGTAAACTTTTTACATTTTTTCATTTTTTTCATACTTAGTCAGAATCATCCTTGGTAGATGAGGCTACAAAATTGTAAAATTGGGATTCCTACCCCAACCCCTGGGGCCAGGGCGGGGCCCCAAAGGGAAAATTAACCAATATTTCAAAAATCTTCTTCTCCAGACTCAGAGGTACTACAGTCATTTTCTCTGCATGGAAAGAAAGATCATCAGGGGCTTTACTTAAATTGTAAATTTCAGGACCCCCAAGCTAT